TTTGCCGTTCCTTTAAGTAACGGGAATATACTGTTCAAAAGATATCCTATCGCATTAAACATTTTGAAAGCGATTTACAGCGATTTTAAGTAGGTATGCTGCAATACCAATTGTTCTCAACTAGTATTGCTGTTGACCAGCATTGGCATTAATGATATAGTTATTGTTAGGTCCCTGTTTTTTTCAATAAAGAAAGGTCTTTCACAAAAATAACGATTTTTTATGAAGTTTGATTAAAAGTAATGGAAGTCGTACTATATTGTTATTGTAACGTGCCTCATTTTAAGGTTCCAAAAGATTCTCAAAGGTTTCCAAAGATTCATAAAGATTCTCAAAGATCCTCAAAGATTTTTTGATATCAAAATCTGCTTTTTTCTCCGTTGTCTTTATTAGACTTACAATGATAGTTTGCACACCAAATGTGTGACGTTTCTAAGAAAGTGTTGATACTAATTTTTAATCTCCAACTTCATTCGACTTGTATCCATCGTTCTAGATTATCTACGATCCGTTCGTCATACGGAGAAAAACAACGATGGAGAACAAATTTTTGGATGAACCTGATGCTACCCATCAGGATGAAAGTTCAAGTCCTATCTATGGTTACCAAGACCAACAAATCACGACATTGGAAGAAGCTGTTCAAACAATCACACATGTCATTCCTGACGTCATTAATTACCTCACACGGGCAAAGCTACAATGCAGGAAAACGAATATATTAACAGAAGACGAATCCGCAGCTATCTATCTCTACACGATGGGTAACCCATTATTTTCCTCGACCCTAAACCATAATCTTCGTGCTATGGACAGAGAGGCACTAAAACCATGGTTCATCTACCTGAAACTCTTCATTACCGCTCTCAACAAGTTACCTTCATTCAAGGGTACTGTGTGGCGCGGTCTATCGAAGAGAATCAATTTTAACCCTGCTGATTATGCTATTCAAACTTGGTGGGCAGTAACTTCTACTTCGAAAGATCTCAAGATCATCGAGCCTTTTCTC